TATTAATTATATTTCATATTATCTATGGTGTTAGGAGGAGGTTTCTGTCTCACCTCTCATGCCACCATCTTTATCTATCTCCTATAATTCTTGTTAGACTTATCCCTTTATCATTATCTAATGCCCTTTGTCTCCTCTTACTTTCCTGTTTTCAAAGTCTATTTTGTATGATATAAGTATTGCTATTTTCACTTTCTTTTCTTCCATTTGAGTGGAATATCTTTTTCTATCCTTTCACATTCAGTCAGTATGTGTCTTAAGGTTTGAAGCAAGTCTCTGCTGGCAGCATATAGATTTTTTAAGCCATTCAGTCATCCTATGTCTTTTGATAGGAGCAATTAGTCTATTTACATTAATTATTGATAAGTATGTACTTACTGCCATTTTGTTAATTGTGTTTTTGATTGTTTTTGCAAATCTTTTCTGTTTCTTTCTTCTTCTCTTGCTGTCTTCCCTTATAATTTGATGACCTTCCTTAGTTTTATATTTGGATTCCTTTCTTTTTTTTGTATATCTGCTATAGTTTTCAGTTTGTGGCTAGCCTGAGGTTCATATATACCATCCTATATATAGCAGTGTATATTAGGTTGATGGTTGCCTAAGTTCAAACACAAAAAATAAGCATTACTTTTTTATTCCCTCACCATGTTTTATGTATATGATGTCAGAATTTACATTTTTGTATCCCTTGACTAATTTTTATATATATAATTGAGTTTGCTACATATGTCTTTTGAATTTCATGATTTGTGATTTGTCTGTTACTTTTACTGTATGTTTGCTTTCACTCATGTAAATTTTTTTCCATTTAAATAAGTCACTTTAATATACCTTGTAAGGCTGGTTTGGTGATGAGTTATTTTAGCAATAATCTGGAGAGCTCTTTATCTCTCTTTCAATTCTGAATGAGAACCTTGTTGGGTAGAGTATCTTGGTTGTAGATTTTTCCCTTTCAGCATGTTTGAATATATCATGTTACTGCCTTCTTACTTGTGAAGTTTCTGCTGAAAAATCTGCTGATTGCCTCATGGTGTTTCTCTTGTAGGTAACCTTTTTCTTGCTGCTTTTAAGAGTCTCTCCTTATCTTTAATTTTTGATGTTTTAATTGTTGTATTGGTGTGGATATCCTTGGGTTCATCTTGTTAGGACCTCTCTGTGCTCCCAGAACCCAGATGTCTGTTTCCTTTGCCCAGTTAGGGAAGTTTTCAGCTGTTATTTCTTCAAATATGTTTTCTGCCCCTTTCTCTTTCTTCTCTTTCTGGGACTCCTATTATGTGAATGTTGTTTTGTTTGAAGTTGTCATAGAGATCTAGCATCTTCTCCTTTTCTTAAAATTCTTTTTCTGTTGCTCAACTTGGTGCTGTCCACTACCTTGTCTTCTACATCACTGATCCATTCTTCTGAATCCTCTAATCTCTTTTTCATTCCCTGTATTGTATTTTTTGTATCAGTTGTTACATTCTTCAACTCTGACTGTTGTTGTTTTGTTTTTTTTCTATCTGTTGGTTGAAGATTTCATCTATTTTCAATCCAGGGAACATCTTTATAACGATTACATTGAATTCTTTATCAGGTAGATTTCTTACCTCCTTTCACTTAACAATTTTTCTGGTGTTTTCTCTTGTTCTTTTGTTTGGAACATACTCCTCTGCCTCTTCATTTTGTTTGGTTCTCTGTTTTTGTTCCTATGTATTATGTAGGTCTGCTATATCTCCTGGTCTTGAAAGCAGTGACTTTATGTAGTTGTCCTGTGGTGCCCCAAAATGCAAAGCCTTCTGTTCAGAACCAGGTGCTCCAGGGGTGTCCCCCGTGTCAGCTATGTGCACCTCGTGTTGTGGCTGAGCCATGACAGCTGTGGGTGGGAGGGTCGAGCTGGCCCTCAGCCTGACTACCACCACTGGCAGATTGAGCTGGTTTGCTTTGTTTACAGTACTTACTTCTAATGCAGCTGAACGACTCAGAAACTCCCTTGCCAGTGTGCTGGTGGGTGGGGTAAGCCCTCGGCCTGGCTCCCTACGTGGTGACTTGACTACTGCTGAGCTGGGCATGTTGGGTGGGGCATGTCTGCAGGGGAATGCTGGGGTGAAGCAAGCTGGATAGATGGGGAGTTTTAGAATTGGCTCACTCCGAGCATCTGGCCAGATATTCTGAGGGAAGGCTGGAAAAGTCGTGCCTGCCAGACCTTTTCTCCCCTGGAGAAAGCGCCCTCAGACCCCTGCTTCTCCTGCATACTTCCCGAAGCTCATTAATAAATCTTTCAAACTGTTACTTCTGTGTTTGGCCTCAGACTTAATCAGCAAAACACATGGGTCCTCCAAGAGTGGAAACAGTCTCCCACAGCTCTTCAGCTATTCCTGGCATTAAGTGCAGCTGATTTTCAAAGCTAAATGTTGTGGGGACTTGTCTTCCTGTAGCAGATTACCAGGGGCAGGTGTGCCAGGTTTGGGGGAGTTTATCCCCTCCCCCTTCCATTCCTCACTTCCTCCTGCTTATAGGTTGGAATAGGGAAGGATTTGGATCCTGACTGATCACAGCTCTTCCCCTTTACCCTTCTCAGTGTGGTCTCCTCTTTTTTGTTAGCTGTAGAAAGTGTGTTCTGAAGTGTTCAGGTTGTTTCAGAGTTAGTTATATTAGATGTAGTTGGTCCCTTGATGTGTATGTGGGATTATAATGAGGTTATCACAGTGACCATCTTCCCAGAGTTCTCATAAGGTAGGTTTTCTTATTATGATATTCTTTTGGCCACACATGATCTAGGGCTTGATGGCCAACTGTAATCCAGCCTGACTCAGATAGTACTGAGAGGAAGCTTATGGGAACACGGAAGTTCCACCTGTCGGCTCATTGCTGAGCAGTGATCATGGAGTGGACGTGTTTGGGACTGAGCTGTGCTACGTCTTCCTGGAGCCAGTTTCAAAGATTAGGCTTGTAGGTAAGGAGTCCTTTGCTGACATCTCAGGATAGGAACTCTGTGGGATGGTGGTGGAACTGCGCTCCTGGCCCGGTCCCTGGCATGTTTAGTGGTGTTGAAGTTGGGCAGCCTGGTGTCAGGCTGGGGACCTCTGGCCAGGATGCTTAATGTAGCCCCTAGGGCACCTGGGCTTAAGGCAAGATGGTATTTCCTTTGACAAGGAAGAGGTCTCCAGCCTTCATTGAAGAGAGAGTTAGTCTTAGCACAGTGATTACAGATATTCGTCTTCCTTCCCCATGAAGGTTACCTCACAGGGATGGAGGTGTTATTTGGATCGTGTCCATTCCTAGCCATTCCCTCCCCACTGCCCAGCCTTGCTTAGAATTTTGGTGGGGAGATGGAGTCAGATTCAGGGGCTCAGCCTCTCATTTACATTAACCTCAACCCCAGGTTCTGGAAGGAAAGGTCAAGCAAGCTGTGTGTGAGGGAGTTGCCCCCCACTGTAGAGCTTTCATGAGGTGAGGAGGTGGCAATGTGCCCAAGAAGGAAAGGGTTTTGAACGTTTATCAGCATTCCCATCTTCTTCATGCCACCTGGCTGCAGAGCAGAGCCCCTTTGATAAGGTTGCCTTCTTGGGATTGGGATTAATGTCAAAGTTGCATAAAAAGCATCTAGAGATATGTCACTTTCATAGTTAAAAGACAAACAGATTTAAAAAACATCTCTAGAACACGCAGCAGCATGTCCTTAATAAAAGGTCTTGGGGCATGTCTTCAAGGAGCATCTGTTAGAAACTGTCCCCCAGCCCCTGGTCCCTGTCACCTGTGAAATTCTGGGTCTTGTTTTTATAACAAAGCATACACTGATTTAGATAGGACTGTTTACTATTTAGGAGCTAAGAGTCCCCAATTAAAATGTGTAAAAATGTTTTTTAAAAGTTTAGTGTTAAAAACTTACCAAATAAAAATGAGCTAAACGAATTCTAAGTAAAAAGGGTGAACTCATGCTATAGAAATGTTTACATTGTCTCCTCTTAACCTGACAAGGCCAATGCTTGACTCTTATTAGTGATTTCTGATTGTTGCATTCTCTATGTTGATATTCTATGGTATTTGTGCAATTTTGCTATTAATTTACTTAGAGCCTTATGGTCTAGAGTTCATCTGACCTGCTGATTTCATGGTTCTTAGGGACTACATTTTTTTTTTCTTTGTGCTTCCATGTCCTGAGAGCCCTGGAGGACAGTTGTAATAGACTTCCCCCCTGTAGTGTTGTTCCCTAGGACGTGATCTATTTTGTCATTTCTCCAGGCATAGCTGGGTGGTGGTGAGAGCCTGGAGGATGAGCCAGGCCATGTTTCCTGAGAGCTGACAGTACGCAGTCCCTTGTTCTCGGCTGATCCCAGCCAGCAACAGGAAGTCCCACTTCATCAGCTACTTTAAAGCTCTCTGCCAGGAACACAGAGTGAACTTTTAGTTTGTATTGGTTAAACTCCAAGGATCAGTACATGGTTGGGGAATTAAAGTGGTATCATGGGCAGGTACAAGGAGGCTGCACTTCCGCCACCAGATTCCAAACCACCTGTCTTCATACGTACAAGATGCAGTAGTGACCCAGTACTAGGAAAATGGGTAATGCTGGTGAAAAATGTACATGTGTAGCACATTTTTATTAATATTAACATGTAGAATCCTATGTTGAGGGGTGTTTTTGTAGTCCAAAGGTCTGGATCCAAATCCTAGTTCTGTCTCTTTGAAGTAAAACTTTGAAATGTTACCCAGCAGTTTTCTGAACCTCTTTCTCCACTGTAAAATGGGAATATTAGGCTTACTTATCTCAGTGGGTGGTTATGAGAATCCAGTGAGGGAATGTATGTGGGCTAATAAGAGTTAATAGCTGCTGATGATGTATATCCTATGGAATGTTATTTCTCATGTATTCTTAGACCTATAAGTCTCAAATGGTTCTTTTTTTAATAGAACAACAAGTGAAATTTGGAATTACATTCCTGCAAGTATGAACAAATCCTTGGAGTCACCCAGTTTTATAAAGGATGGCTCAATCTCTCACTTGTCTCTTTGCCCAACAGTGTGCCGTGTAAAAAGTGTGTGGTGATTGGTAATGGAGGCGTCTTGAAGAATAAGACATTAGGAGAAAAAATTGACTCCTATGATGTAATAATAAGGTAAATATATTTCCTATTTTCTAACCTAGAGTTGTTTCAAAAGAATATGGTTTTCTGCTTTACCACAGCTGTGTTTTAAAAGGAAAGAGTTGATTTGATATGTTTAATTACATGACACAACCGAGTCTCTAAATTGTTGGCTAGAGTGGGCCTAGATTTCAGAGCATTTGTTTACCAAATATTAAGTCTCCTTATTCTTAATATGTCAGGCATAGTTCTGGCCACATGGGTGACTAAGAACAATTCTAATGGGGGCAAAGAAAACAGGGGAAGAATTTATTTCTAAATAAATAAGGAAATATAATAATAAATGCCATGCAAACAAAACATATGAAAGAGAATGATCGAGTGAGTGCTGCTTTAGAATGGATGTTCACTTCGAGGAGGAGGCTTCTAATCTGGACCTAAGTGACCATTCAATACTAGCCATACAAAGACCAGTGAAGAGAAATACAGGCAGAGAAAATGTTTACTGCAGGTCCTCAGGAGGATATGACCCTGGGTTTGAGAGGAAAAGCAAGAAAGCCACTGAGGTCTGAGGGCAGCAGACTGGGAGAAAGCTGAAGAGGTGGGCAAGGAGCAGGCTCTGTAGGACTTTGTAAATGAGGATTAGAATTTGGATTTTATTTTGGGTAGAACTAAACTTTTGAAGCTTTGTAAGTGCATGATCAATTTGGTCTAGTAATGTTCTTAAAATATTTGGGCTGTGGCACGGACAGTGGATATGAGGAACAAGGGTAAGAATGAGAAGGCTTAGTCAGGCTGCTTTATTTAAGTAGATGATGGTGGTTTGGGACAGGATTATCATGGCCAAGTTGGGAAGTGGAGAGACAGAGACGTGCTAGAGGTAGAGTTATCAAGATTTGTTGATGAATTAGATGTGAGCAGAGATGGGAGTAAAGGAATCAGGGATACTTCCTCCTAGGTTTTTAGTTTAGGAGGTTGGCTGGATAGGGGTACCATTTATTGAGTTGGGAAAGACTAGAGTGGGAATAGGTTCAGAGGAGAATCAAGATTTTTGTATGAACAGTTTGGTTTGAGATGATTATTATGTTTGCAGTGGATAAATCAAGTAGGCAGTTGGATAAACAGGTTAAAGTCTTGATGGTGAGCAGCCTATAAACTGTGTTTGAACTGTGGGCTGGGCAGGATTTCCTAGGGAGAGAGGAGAGCAAGAAGAGGGCCCAGGATGGAGCCTTGATGTACCCGACACTTAAAGGCTGAGCACAGAAAAAGGAGTAAAAGAGGGAAAGCCCCACGGTGAGGTGGGCAGTGCTTTGTGAGAGGGGGAGGGGCCCGGTGAGAGCTCACACACGGAGAGCGCAGGGCCCACCTCGGCACTGGCAACCCACAGCCTCACGGGCTGTTCTGAGGAGAGAGTGGCAGGTGAGTGTGAAAAAACCAGTAGCAGCAACTCCAGAAATTTTGCTGTGGAGTTGAGAAATGAGGAAGTTATAGAATCAAAGAAGGATGTTCTGTTTTGGTTCATTTTGTAAAGATAGGAGATTCTCAAGCATATTGATAAACCAATGGAAATGAATAAGGAGATTGGTGTGGCAAAGAGGGAGGGGCTGGGATCCAGTTCCCAGGTGTGCTTGATACTCTGTAATGGAGAGGAAAACTGGGATTGTTGTAACAGTTACTGCGAGCCCCAAAGGTGGGGTGGGAACCTGGGGACATTTCTGCCCCGACTTTCTCATTGAAAGGTTGAAGGTTATCATCTGGGTAAGTGTGTGTGTGTTGGGAATGGCTCTAAATAGCCTTTTGAAGAGTGGGAAAGCTTCACACGGGGGCAATGCGTTGAGATGACCTGACAGTGCTTAGGGGGGTTTACTGGGTTCCGAGCTGACGAGGGTTTCTGCATAGCGAGTCACCTTATTTTCTGTTTGTTATCCATTTTGAGAAGCTGTGAAAATTTATGCACAAAATAGTTTTGAAGCACTCACAAGTTTCTTTACCTATAACTTTAAAATCTAATCACCCAGAAACCCATCAAGCCCTTGTGGGAAAATACCATGAGCACAATATGAGTCATTTCACACATTATGAAGACTGTTTTATATTACAGAGTCAGTCACAAAGGGTAAAACAGTATTTATCCGCCTAGGAGACACTGTTTTGGAAACAAAGTGTTCCTTTTAATAGCATGTCTTCACAACATGTTCATACTAGTTAGTGCACGCCTGACACTGGCTTTGAGTGCACACCAACCTAACAGCAGCTTCTGTGTGGTTCTCACTCTAGCAGTAGACATTCATTTGCCTGTGTTTGGGTCTAACACAGCAACTTTATTATTACTTTACTTCAGAGAAAAACAATTTTGATGAGTCTTCAAATCACCTGCAGTATGATTCTGTTCTTGCCTGTCAGTCACTTAGATACACATTCACATGCCATGTGACTGTGTAACCTTGGGCAAGTAACTTTCTCTCTCTGAACCTCAGGGCCCTTATCCATAAATCCAAGTGGTTTTGTCTGGATGTCTTCCAAGGCCTCTGTTCCCATTGGTTTTATTTAATCTTCAGTTTTCCTGGAGGTAAAATAGAATTATCAGTGGCTCACAGTTAATCTTTGAATGCAAACAAATCTCTGCCTTTGATCAAGCAGCTGTTTGATGAAAGGGAATTATTTCCTTGCCCAGGATGCATGAAAGACTGATCGATTGCCTTGTGGTTTAGAGCACTGGATACATGGCTGAAGAGGTCTGTCCAGCTCTGAAAGCTCTGAGAACTGTGATGGAATTGGCTCATACTGCACTTGGTCTACATATCTTGTGTGTTTTACTACCCACAGAATGAATAATGGTCCTGTTTTAGGACATGAAGAGGAAGTTGGTAGAAGGACAACCTTCCGACTTTTTTATCCAGAATCTGTTTTTTCAGATCCCAATCACAATGATCCTAATACTACGGCGATTCTCATTGCTTTTAAGCCACTTGATTTAAAGTGGCTGTGGGAATTGTTGACAGGTGGCAAAATAGTAAGTTGGCAAAATTGATCTGCCTTCTGATCACCTTCATTTCTTTTTCCTAAAAAAAAGAAGACAACAACAACACTCTATTTCTGTATTATTTCAGAACACTAATGGTTTTTGGAAGAAACCAGCCTTAAACCTGATCTATAAACCTTATCAAATCAGAATATTAGATCCTTTCATTATCAGAACAGCAGCGTATGAACTGCTTCATTTCCCGAAAGTGTTTCCCAAAAATCAGGTATGTATTTTTGTTTGCAGTTATAAACTAAAGATCCAGCTGGGTAGGATAGAGGGTCCCCAGAGCTCTCAGGAACTATGAGAACCTGGACTCAGTAGGTGTTGAAAGTAGACATTTGTGGGTATTATCTTTGTTTTCCAGGTTGCAAGGGAAAGAATCTTAAGTGAAGGTTTGTTCCTGCCCTTGTGGGGGCCCTTCTGGGCTCTCCTTCTGCATGACCACGTGGTTCCTGCCTCATAACCTCATCTTCAGTGGTCTGCAAGCAGAGTCTGCCTGTGGGGCAAGGGATGCTGCTGGGCAGGCTGTGCTCAGGATAGCAGTACTGGCTGTAGGATAAGTGCATGCCTTTCAGGCTAAAAAAAGCTGTCTGAAGCCTTGGTGATAAAAATATCTCAGGAAATCTGGGGCAAAGGCAAGGAAGGATAATAAGGCAGTTCAGAAATATTTCTGTGGTAACAGAGGAGACACTGGCAGCGAATTCTCAGGAAATGGTTGTTTGAGCAAATTTGAGTTTTTGAAACTCCAAATTACTTAATTATGAGGAATCTTATTGACTTCTGTAGCCCTGTTTGTCTGCCTTCCCTAGAAAACATGCTCTCTAGACAGAGATTCTATTTTTTATTTGAGTAACTGTGCAACATGATATCTCAGCTGAAATGAGATTTTCCCTTTTTGTGAACAGGGAAAATCCAAAGAAATAAACATATATCATGTATCTTCTCTTTAACATGATAACAAAATTCCAAAAGTATTACATGTTGAAAATCAAACAACTTAAAATGGAGTATTAAAAAAAAATCATTCTGTTCCCACTAAGTCACATTATCTCCCAAGCCTTTTATATCCTTTATGACTATTTTCTTTGCTTTTACACATACACTTTGTTGAACATCATTGCCATTATACCATAAGTTTTGTTCTATATTTTCCCTTCTATTTCATTATTGCCCTATTTATATACATTTAGGTTTGCACCCAACTTTTTGCGTCTATAAGTAATGTAGAAATACATGTGCTTATAGGGATATCTGCACACTTATGTGATTTCCGTACGATTAATCTCTGGATATGGAATTCCAAGTCAAAAAGCATACTTTAAATTTAAACCCTTTCTTAGTAATTTTAGGAGAAAGAACAGAGCTTCTGTATGTTTTTTGACTTTTCACTCTGATTTTCCTAAGTGAGGTAAGATCAGATTTACCCGTTGCTTTGTCTTTAGGTAGTACCTTTAACCCAGGAGCATAGAAAGGCCCTAATCTTACTTAGAGGTGATACTAGAACTATTTGTAACTGGATTAAAGTTACAGTAGACATGGTGTCCCAGAAACCAAATGGACACACAGCTGTATTTCAGATAGGTCAGCCACGTCAGATGCCTTCCAGAGGTTGAATAACCCTTATTCTGGGAAACATGGAAGTTGTACTGGTGGCATGGACAAGAATGGGAAAGTGGAAGAAACCCTGCTTGGATTGAGTCAAAGAGAACATGGGACATGAGCAAATGGAGTCAGCTCTTCCAGTGGAGTTTTTCTAGCAAGGGAGCAGAGTGATGTCTGGAGGACATAGGATCAAGGAAGGTTGTTTAGACGATAGATGGTATGTTTTATGCTGAAGGGAATGATTTAGTAGAGGACAATACTGATGATGAGTGGACAAAGTGGATAACTATAGATGCAAAGTTGTTGAGAGGTGGGGTAGAAGAGAGTGCACCAGTGGAGAGGCTGGCCAGAGGCAGCAACAGGGGCACATCATCCACGAAGGGCAGTAAGCACTCAGAAATATAGGTAAAGATGAAGGTAGATTTGGAGTTGGGAAGTGATGTAGTAGCGTTCATCTGATTGTGTTTTCTTTGAAAAATATTGTCAATTGAAAGTAGGGAAGAGCTAGGGCTGTGAGACAAAAAGGTATAAAATTGTTGGAGAGAGAACAGGAGTGGAAATTTGACAGCAGGATGCAATTGGATTGTTGAACATGACTGCCCACTTGAGACTTTGTTATAAATGAACACATGGCCAGCCAAGTATGTTTTCTCTTGCCCTGTTCTGCTCAGGTGTGGGCTTAACTAGGGCTAAGACTGCCAGGTGGCAAGATGGGTTCTGTGGTTGAGGGGTGAAGGTGAAGGTCTACAATCATTGTAAAATGGTGAAATTCTAAGGTATGATTATACTAGACTTTTATACTAGACCATACTTCCTTTAAATAGGGATCAGTGGGGGTAGATTTCATCAAGATTTTTTTAACTGAATAGGAAGGAGTTTTCTAAATTAATTAGTGGCCAGCACAAGGTATGAAGAAAGGAAGAAGGGGACATAAGAGGAAACAGTGATGGGATCCATGAAGGTGGCTGACTTCTAGGTATTCAGCAGCCTCCCTCCCCAGCGGATGGTGAGGGTGTGGGGTGGAGTCACAGTAGTGCAAGGGGTGAAGTAAAGCTTGTGCAAGACAGGCTTTCAGTCAAACTTGCTTTCTGGAGTTTATATTTTATTGTCCTTCTTTAATTTTTTCTTTTCCTCAAAATAATTAGTCATATGTAATTTCAATGGGCTCAAGAAGCTTGAAAGGGAATCTCCTTCGATTGCTATGTAAGATATACTTGGTTTTGGCCATCTTAGTGAGAACTGGAGACCATCCTAGAGACCCGCCCATCAAAACATCTATTATGGGGTTTTTCAGGATATATGTATGTGTAAAGGGAATGCTTGGTTTCTTTTTGTTCTTAAACTGGTAATGATCCAGTTGAGACTGTGACATTACTATGTATACACCTGGAGTTTTTATTTTCTAGCCAGAAGCTATTAACAGTTTGTCATTGGAGTTACTTCAGTCTCTCCCTAGAGCTGAATTATTAGAATTATAAAATACATCTATTTTAAGGCTAATTTATAGGTAGCCTTTTACCATGACTCTATCCATTAGCAAATGGAGCTGTCCTTATGTTTCATACATGAATTCAAAATTCTGACTTTGAATTTTCCACAAGGAGCCTGACTCAGCATGTTTTTAAAAGTAAGGCAGCAAAGTTCTTTTCCTTGAGTGTCACAATGTTCCTTCATTTGACAGTTGTTCTTTTCAGAGTTATGGCATCAACTATTTGAGGTTTGAGCTTTAGGATAGGATGAGGGCTTAAGTATTTCTCTTTTGCTTTAATGTTCAGAAATCCTCATTTTGTAAGATTAAGTCACACAAATATACTTTGCAAACAAGTACTTTGCATTTAAAAAAAATTATCATTTCCCTCCCCAGAAACCCAAACATCCGACAACAGGAATTATCGCCATTACGTTGGCATTTCACATATGTCATGAAGTTCACCTTGCTGGATTTAAATACAACTTTTCTGACCTCAAGAGCCCTTTGCACTACTATGGAAATGCCACCATGTCTTTGATGAATAAGGTAATAGATACACACCTTGATGAAATCTTTGATCTTTACAGAGTTGGAAATCTCATACTCTCTCTCCTCACCGTCACTTTACTGAGGGAACAGGTTGAGAGGGTGAGGGCTTGAAGTGCTGAAATGAATGACTCAAATCCTGAGCTCTTTTTACTACAACAGCAATTCCCAATTTGTGGGCCTCAGACACTTGGGGGAATCTCATAGTTATTGTCAAGATACTGTGAAACCTTTATAGGGACTGAGCCCTTTCTTAGATACTCTGTATTTTCACTATTTAAATATGTAGACAACCTGCTGTTTGAGATACTAGAAATTCACCTAAAGATGCTCATAAGTAAATATTTTCTGTTAAATAGATGAGATGGTCTGTAACCTTTTAACCCCATTAAAGAATATTCATGGTCAAAAAGGTCACAAACTTTTATACTAGACCATACTTCCTTTAAATAGGCATCAATGGGGGTAGATTTCATCAAGATTTTTTTAACTGAATAGGAAGTTTTCTAAATTAATTAGTGGCCAGCACAAGTGATAGGACTGAAACATTGTATATACATTTTTACTGTTGAAATACCAGTGGTTTTCTGTAAAGTATACAAATCTATCCCATGAAATTGGTTCCTTAAATCATTATCCCCATATACTGTATAAACAGTGATATTAGGATAGCCTTTAATACTGTCCCTTCCTCCCCACCGTGTCAGACAAACACTTGAATAGTTACCTGAGCCCTGGTTCTTCCTGTAGCATTTGTGGTATTTTAGTTATCTAAACAACACATTAAAACGAACTTCCTGAGGAAAATCAGGATCTCCATCGATAGAAAAGAATTACTTTAAAAAATGCATCTTAAACTGAACCAGTAGTTTACTATTTCTAGGCTTATTTCTATTATGAGTTCCAAGTGCTGCTTTTGTTAAAGTGATGAACCTATGACTGACATGTAATGATTGACAAGGGATGATGTGAGGGAGATGCTTATGTGATGGTTTATGTGGCAAATGGCCTTTAGGGAAAGCTCTGGCAAAAAGGATGAGCAAAGAAAAAGAAATAGGTAACAAAAGTTCTAAGTCCGGGCCATTTGTTACTTGAGTGTTTTATTCAGAGGCTTTTAGATACATTGTATTCCACTGCTGCTATAGTAATTATTTTGAGATTGGAATAGTGATTTTACTTTTCCTCTTTAGAATGCATACCACAATGTGACTGCAGAACAGCTCTTTTTGAAGGACATTATAGAAAAAAAATTTGTGATCAACTTGACTCAAGATTGACCCTCCCAACTCAGAAGATGCTGCTGTTTTATTTTTATATGGCAATTTTTAGTTTATTTTTAATGTTGGGTGAATGCATCAAAAAATTATGTATATTATGTCTGTTGTTGGCTGGTGATTCATAACCACCAGCTTGAATTCTGTGAATATATTTAATTTATGAAAACCAAGATAAGATCTATCAGGGAAATGTTTTGGTTGCATTGTTTTTAAAATAAGCCTGTTTTCTGAGGTGTTTTTAAAACTTTTTTTTTTTTTGAGAGGGTATCTCTCATATTTATTGATCAAATGGTTGTTAACAACAATAAAATTCTGTATAGGGGAGTTAATGCTCAATGCACAATCATTAATCCACCCCAAGCCTAGTTACTACATCTTAGGCTTTTGAAGAGATGTGACTTCCTAATGAGGGGATTTAGTTTACTGCAACAAATTTTGAATATGACATTTTAGAGGTGTTATTTGTCTACTGTAAATCAGTGGCATGTGGTTGTGCTCTGTGTGGCCATCTGGAACCACTTCAGGTCTCTAATAGCATGACTGCTTGGTTCCTTTTAGCTCTGAGGAACTTGATTTGAATCTTAAACTGGCCCTGAATACAGCAGTATGGATGTTTACAGTAAGCTAAGATCTTGCTGGTTTAATTTTTTTCCTGCCATTAAGTAAACCATGAATATGATTTCGTAGAATGAAGATAGTGTTTTATATTAAATTGAAGGAAAGAGGCTAAATATAAAATTCTGGATGAGTGAATAACCAAAGAATATAATTACTAAAGTCTTGTGACTGCATTATTTTAATAGTTTATAAAACAAAGCAGCAGAGCTGGCAAGCTCAAGGAGATAATTCTTAAACATTATTTTTTACTTGGTTTGTTAAATTCTGAAAGCTTATTTGAATTAGGAAAAAGAAGAAGATGACAAGTAAGTAAACCCTTAAGACTCAAGCTGTTTTTGGATTTATGTGGTATTTTCATGAAAAATCTCACTTGTCCACATGATGAAAATTGCATCTTCAAATGGAAGGCTTACCTTGGTATGCCAGAAAAGGATCCTGTGAGATGCAACAAGGCCAAGCCAGTCCAACAAATGTGGTGAGCTATTTTAATATAACTGAAGGCTTTGGGGAGGGAGGGAGATGAGGGGTGAAGGAGAAAAGAACAGAAGTCTGAAGAAGGATGGAATTAAAAGCCCTGAAGAGAGGGATGAGTTGAAAGAACTTATCTTCTGAACAGTACTTATCATTGGGAGACACTGATGATGTCACTGATCACCAGCCTGCCTCTCTAAAAGGGGTGTAGAAAGCATGAAAGATTACAGTAGAAACAGGAATAAATGAAATACTTAAAAGCAGTCTATGAGGCGGAAATTAGCAGTTGCTTTGACCTAGATCTGAACATTTGCGATGGAGTGTGTTCTGCAGGTCCAATGCTCGTTTGCACAGAACCACAATTTGATCCTTCTCGTAACTTTTGGGTGGAGAAGGCAGGAACGAGGCAGGTCCCTCATACCACACAGCTGCAGGGTGGCTGAAATTCAGCTTGACAGAAAGTAGTTCAGGGTTCAAAAAGGATGGTGCTGCCTACAGAAAAAGGCAATCAAAACTCAATGGTGGCATTTTCAAATGTAAGCACTGTAATATTGGCCAAAATATTTCTGACTGACATTAAAATTGAGGAATCTGGCATTTTTGTATAAGAGAAAAGGCTACAAACCTCAACGTGATTTTATTTAAGCCAAAAAAAACTAAGCAAGACACATATATACAATTTATTATGAACACATTAAAATTTTACTATTTATACCCTAAATTCTAGCAACATATACAAATACTGAGTGACTACAGTACATGCCGAGGTAAGAAAATTACATTCTAGGAGAATAACACTGACACTTAAGCCATTTTGTTTCCACCTGTCCCAGTGCCAAAAAAGAGGAGATGAAGAAGAAACTAGCCACAAGTTGGATTAAATGAGAATTGGTGCCACAGCTGACCTGTAAAGTATTTTAATAACCATCCAACTCTTTAGATTTTACAGTTTAGGGACTTCAAGTTCAGAACCTTTGAAAGGCATAACTTAGCTGATTTCTCCTAAGGTTTGAAAAGCTTTCCTGTCCCATACAATCTATTCTCTCTAACTGTATCATCTGACATGGTGTTGCTATGGCCCTCTTGCTCCTAAGTGACACTGTGGAGCCAAGAAGTTCAAGCTTTAACTCTTTCCAGAGTTATGGCCACATTCATAGTTAGATGAGCTCATTTTCTGCTCCCTCCTGAGGGAGAGGGCAAGTACATACATCATGTCATAGTTTCAATTCCTGTATAAATTTTCTACTCGAACCATTTCATCAGCGAATAAACCCATTGTTCAATGCAAAGTGCAAATAGTGAAACATGGACGTAAATAGCTGGATTAAACCCTGTACATATGATACGATTTCTTTAGATTTACAGCTTTTAATAAAATATAAATCAGCATTCACAATATCTTTTAACTGTGCTGGTTCCTAAGATCAAGTAACAGTAGCATTAGTGTAATTTTATGAAACCTGTAGGGGCCACACTTGCTGTACCACTGTCTGATTCTATTTTTATAACTGTAGTAACATGAAAAAATTTAATCTAATAAACTACAGTGACTTTAGCAAAGAATAAAAATTCAAGGCAATTTTGTAAAAAAAAAAAGGTTACTTTCACATTTTCAGTTTTTACTTGATTGTCTCCAAAGCTGTATATATATATCAGACATATAAACATAGTTAAAAAAAACAACCCAAAACCAACACTCTAATATGAAAACAAATGAAAAAGTACAAAAACAGACCAATCCTTAGTATCAGGCTCAGCTCTTCACTTGGAAAATCAAATAGTAAAAACTAGGTATTTAAAAAAATCATTGGTAGTTTAAGGACAGCACAGTGACAAGATGAATCAAGTCTTAAAACACACATTTGAGAAAACATTTGCTTCTCAAAAAAAACTCAATGGGCAAAACACAATTACACAAAAAGAGCAAGCATCTTTGGGAAAATGAAATGTGTTACTACAGACATTTCTCTTAAAGCTTTGAACAGGCATATGATTTGAGAAAAAGTGTACTAAAGATGAATAAAAAATAATTGGTTTACTCTTCCCACCTCAAACGGGATGACTGCATTAATACATGTGCTTCACACATTCATATATGTTCTAACAAAAAATTCAACATCTGTGCTTTTTGTTTCAAATATTTTGAAACAAAATATGTTTTGATTTCTCAATGAATAAAATTATGCCTCAAGGTCTGTCTGGAAAAGGAAAATCAAATGAAAATAAGACCAACACACTTTTACACAACTAGAGGGCAGGAAGGCTATAGAAATAATTCCATTTTTGCAGCAATGTTTTAGAATACTGATAGACCCATGGATGAACACTGTTCATCTTTATTCAAATTTAGCAAATTGTGGCATCATCATAATCTGGTGCTACAGGCCGAAAGAAATGGCTAGAACCTGATGGGAAAGTACATTACAATATTAAGTCTGCAAACTGAGGTTTATGGACAAGGCAACGTCAATTTATGTTTTAGTTGTATGGTCAGCTTCTCATATCGTCTTGCTAGTGTAAAGACTTTTAAAATTGGTTTTTCTACCATAGGCTAATATTATTGCAGATGATTTTTATTTTGCTGATCTAAAACTAGTTCTGGGCAAATGATGACAAAGAAGTTGCCCAGCGGTATCAAAAACACAGCACTACTTACTGGCTAGGATGCTATAACAGCTGTTCTCCTGGCGTGCTATGAAGGACATTCACGCCTCCCACCACACACAGATGAAGAATACATGTGGGGTTTGTATTTCTTATGGAAAACTGAAATTTTAAAAAATTAAAAATAAAATACACTGAGGTTCAAAGAAAACAAAGAGGGCTGGTTTCCCCTTTTTTTGAAGGTAACTTGTATGACTTCTGAGGATTGCTTTGCCTTTTACTATGTGAAATATAAGTGGGCAGTGTTTACAATGTTCACTTAGAAGCCTTCAACTTCTCACAACTCTCCCTGGAAAATCCCACTGCAAATAAAGTTGGTAGTAGGGGGTGGGGGCATAGGGAGAGAAGCTCCTATAGCTTCTAAAAACTGTCAAGTTGTTCCTGTTCCTACAATGAAGAGTATAAAGACACCAGTGGAACTGAATTCATGAGGCTGATAAAGCAAGCTTCACCCATGGAAAAAACTCAAAACATTTCACGAACATGAGAATGGGGCTGGCCAGCAGGGACCCCAGGCAGGGCCAGCAGGTGTGAGACCAGGTCATGTACCGTCAAGTGTTAATGCTCTGAAGAGTGTCTGTCAGAAAGTAAAAAAATCAATACCCTGCTCATTACAGGTCAGTTTCCCAGCTACAGATCCTCCTAGGGAAGATTGGTAAGTGTTTGACTGCAATCAAAACAATGATCATATCACTATTTTCAGGGGAAAATAAAGTCCAGAAAATACAGGAAAAGAAGAGAAAGCAATCATGATAGTACCCATCTTTCACAGAGAGCAGAATTTCAAGCCATTAGACATTTCAACAGTACCACACGTTATTGCCCGTCAGGCTTACAGAGCCATCTTGAGCTCATCAATGTACCTGCAGCATTGGTAATAAATACTCTCAGTGACTCTTAATATCTTTGAAGTGCATAGTAGGGAGCTTTTTCTGTATTAAAAATAGTGTTTTACAGTAGTAACAAACAGGATGTTTGAAAGGTAAGCAGTACTGTGCCATAACAACACCTTTAAAACAAGTAGTTCCCTGTACCTCGGTCACCACATTTCCCCAACCACATGTGACAGATATGTAGTACATTCTATATATTACTACCACTAATACAAAAAAAAAAGGTCATGTGCTTTAAAACGATGCTTTGTAAAAAAGCAGCATCACCTTCAAAGGATTTCTTTAAAAACATCACACTCGCCATCTCTCCCTGCCCCTGAGACCTCCTGGGTGCTCTGTGGCACCTGGTACACCATCTCCTCTGGGGCACTCGGGCCTGGCTTCCCCCCTTTTGGGGTGTCATACTGGGCCATGGCTGAGGAGCAGCTGGCAGTCCTGGAGAGGAGAGTGTTGTATGTTCCCACTACAGGGGGAAGTTGGTTCCCTGCAGTTTTGAAAGTGGATGTTGAGGGTACACCAATGGCAGCCATGGGGTGCCCCGACATATCCACGACGATCGGGGTTGCATACTCGGGCCCCGTGATGGGCAGTGGTTCGGCATAGGCATGGTAAACTTCTTGCCCTGGGTTGCTGTAAGGATCTAGGTCAGCATAGCCTGCTTCTTTTCCTTCTTCCGGTTTAAAGGTAGATCTCTGATGAAGTGTGCCAACAATTCCTCCCACCAGAGGTTGTGCGTACTCTGTGGATATCACCAAATACAAGCAACAGAAAAGTGACTTCATGAACACGTGGATCACATAACTCAGAGTGGCAGCTACAGGCATCACCAAAAACAAACGCTTCCTTATAGCACTTCCGACACTACCAACACAGATTTATGGATTTGCCTGCAAGAACCAACTTCAACAATTAAAGATGTTACCTTGTATCATAAAGTGATGTTAATATGCCAGAAAGCCTCACTCGTGTAATTTTGCATAGAGAGTGTTTGTTTGTGGTCTTCAGATTTACAGATAGTATTTCATTGGAAAAGACAGATACTCCATTATTAGAATAAGTCTTGAAAAATAAATTTGAAGACTTTTTCTTTTTCAAATATGAAGAAGTGTTTGAAGTATGTACTAGATTAATAGGATAAATACTATAAGGTTTGTTATGTCTTTCCTACTTTTCTCTTAATACCCCCAATGAAACCAATCAAAACTCCAGGCAAACAGACAATGCCCAGAGTTTTAAAAATGCATGTTTCAATTTTATGTATAGAACAGCCGAGACACAGAAATGACTCTCTCAAGGTCATATTTTGAAAAAGTAGTTAAGCCTTTGGAAAATACTCATCTCTCACATACAGCTATGGAGACTCCAGGGCACGCACTCTAAAGGCCGCAGGGCAGCCGCTGCCTCTCCCACCCCCATGGTGGGGGGCTGCACAGTTACCTGCGGAGTCCGTCTGCAGCACTGTGGTGACTTCTCTTGCACTCAAGTGATTAACTTCACTAGTGCTGTAGCGCACTGGGGTTTCCTCATGCTCCGCCGACTTGGCAGGGAGAAACTGCTTCATTCCTTTCCACCAACCTTCATTGTGATTGTAAGCAAAAGAGACCATTAAATAAAAAGCTGTGTCTGAAATAGTACTGTATTAAGGGAGAAGTCCTGTTGCATATAAGCCATTTCTTTAACAAATATCTATGCAAACTAGCCTTTATGTTCCAGCTTATTTTTATTATTGTGGAAAAATATACATTGCATAAACATTACCATCTTCACCATTTTTAAATGTACAGCTCAGTGGCATTAAGTACATTCATACTGTTGTGCAGCTATCACCACCATCCATCCCCAGAACTCTTTTCATCTTGTAAAACAGAAAATTCTGTACTATTAAACACAAACTCTCTGTTTTCCCCTGCCCCTGGCAACCACCATTCTACTTTGTATCGTTATGATTTTGACTACTGCAAGTACTTCACAGAAGTGGAATCACACAGTATTTGTCTTTTAGTGACTGGCTTACTTCACTGAGAATAATGCCCTCAAGGCTCATCCATGCTGTAGCATAGTGCAGAATTTCCTTCAAGGCTGTAAAGTGCTCCATTGTGTCTATACACCCCACTTTGTTTATCCATTTATCAGTCATGGACACTTGGGTTGCTTCCATGTTTTACCTATTGTGGATAAAACTGCTGTGAACATGGGTACACAGCTATCTCTTTGAGACCCGACCCCATTTCTAATTCCTTTGGCTATATACCTAGAAGTGGAATTGCTGGATCATATAATTCTATTGTTGATTTTTTGAGGAACCACCATACTGTTTTCCACTGCAGATGTACCATTTTTACATTCCCACCAACAATGCAAAAAGGGTTTCATTTCCTTATGTTCTCACCCACATTTACTGTTTTCTGGGTTTTTTTGGTAGCATCTATCCTAATTGATGTGAGCTGGTATCTTGTAGTTTTGATTTAGTGATGTCAAGCATCTTTCATGAGCTTACTGGCCATTTGATTATATTCTTTGAAGAAATATCTATTTCAGTCCTTGCCCATTTTTGAATAGAGTTCTTTTGTTGAGTTTTTAAAAGTCTCCACATAATTCTGTATATTAATCCTGTATCAGATATGATTTGTAAATATTTTCTCCCATTCTGTGGGTTGCCTTTTTTGTCTTTTGATGCATGAAATGTTTACATTTTCATGAAATCCAATTTATCTGTTTTTTTCTTTTGTTGTGTTTTTGGGCATCATATCCAAGAAATCACTGCCAAATCCAGTATCATCAAACTTTTGTTTTATGTTTTCTTCTAAGAGTCTTACTATTTTAGGTATTACATTGGTCCTCGATTCATTTAGGGTTGCTTTTTGTATATGGTATTAGCTTTTGTATATGGTATATATTCTTTTCCATGTGGATATCCAGTTTTCCCAACACCAAATGTTGAAGACTATCCTTTCCCCAGTGGAAGGTCTTGGCACCTTGTCAGTCATCTGTCCATATTATTTCTGTGCCCTCTATTCTATTCTAGTGGTCTACATGTCTGTGTTTATGCAAATACCACACTGTTTGATTATTGTGGCTTTGTAATAAGTTTTGAAATTAGGAAGTGTGAATCTTCCAGTTTTATTTTTCAAGATTTTCTTGGCTATTTGGAGTCCATTGAAACTCCATATGAATTTTAGGAAGAATTTTTCTACTTTTCTGAAAAACATCATTGGGATTTTAATAGGTAGGGATTGCATTAAATTTGTAGATCACTTTGGGTAGTAATGGCATCTTAACAATACTAAGTCTTCCAATCCACGCATGTAGGATGTCTTATGCCTTTTTACATTTATTTTAGCAACATTTTATAGTTTGCATTGTACAAATCTTTCATCTCCTTGGTTAATTCTGAAATATTTTACTCTTTTTGATGCTACTATAAATCAAACTCTTCTTAAGGTTTCCTTTTCAGACTGTTGTTTGCATATAGAAATGCAACTGATTTTAGTGGGCAAATTTTGTCTTCTGCTACTTTGCTGAATTCATTTACTAGTTCCAAGAACTTTTTTGTGGAATCTCTAAGGTTTAATTCTTCAAAAGTGTTTAGTGGAATTTACCAGTGAAGCCATTGGGTTTAGGACTTTTCCTTGTTGGAAGATTTTTGAGTATTAACTATTTCTTTACTAGTTATAAATCTATTCAGATTTTCTGTTTCTTCATGATTTGGTTTTGTTAGGTTTTGTGTGTCTGGGAATTTGTCCATTTCATCTAGGTGATCCAGTTTTGGGGTATATCATTGTTGATAGTGCTAATAATCCTTTTACTTCTACAGATTCAATAGTGATGTCCCCACTTTCATTTATTTCAGTAATTTGAATATTCTTTTTTTCTTAGTCTATCTGGCTAAAGATTTGCCAATTTTCTTGATCTTTTTGAGGAACCAACTTTTTGATTCTATTTCCTCTATTGTTTTCCTGTATCTATTTTGTTTACTTCTCCTCTAATCTTTATTATTTCCTTCCTGCTGGTAGCTTTGAGTTTAGTTTGTTCCTTCTCTAGTTCCTTAAGCTGTTTAAGGTGATTTTTTGCTTTGATAGAATGCCCAATGCAAAGCAGAACATGGCAGGAATATCTATCAAAAGCAGATACAGAAGCAAATCACTGCTATTATGTGCAGCCTTATACAGTCTGTCCATTGTAAGGTGGCTCTTTAAATTAATTTTTTCTCAAAAAAATATTTTTCAAGATCCCCTTCCCCTGAGGGCTAGCAGCATGTGACCTGCCCTCACCACTACTCTTTCTACCCTAGTCACAGCAGTGAACTCTTTCAGCATCTAGCAGTTGCTCCAGTAGTGAGCCTGAGAAGTGAGAGGCTTGTATGGGGCCTCTGGTGTCACCTGCAACTATTTGCCAACTTCCTGAGCCCGAATTCAGAAGATGACAACTCACCATGGCACAGATGGCAGGCCTCATGGATTCCTGAACTGCTGCACTTCACTTAGTAAATACTCACTGCAGAGCGACAAACACACACCGTATCGCTAGGACCACAATCCTTTGCTTCTTAAATTGCTCACATAGGTGACAAAAAAACCTGGTGTCCTCAATAGAAATAGATATATGGGACAAACCAGACAAGCTTTCCAGAAGAAACAGAACAGAGCATGTATTATGATAAATTCTTACTTTTCACTTCATTATCTATTGACCAGAAGAGGAATGCCATTTTCCTAACAAGTGCTAGAGATGTTACATGGGCCTGAAAACAACTTCCTTTTTCACCACTGCCACCTGGAGGGGATGGACTTCCCTTTGATGGAAAGAGATGCAGTTATGAGTTACCTGCCCGGTCCCAGTAAGGTAAGTCGTAAGTGCCTTCAGTTTTTTTCTTTCTGGAAAAATACAGAAAAAAAAAAGAGCAAATGAACTAAATTCACTAGTAGTAAGACAGCTCTGAAACTGCAGGATAAACACCAGTTAATAATTAGTCATAAGTACACATTTCCATTTGCTAATCTACTTGGGCAAAGCCTCTGTTTCATCTGATTTTCAAAGCTGCCAGTGCTGCGGCTTATAAATTGTGGATTCAGTAAATATTAAACCACTATCTTCTGAGACAGTTATTTTGTTGTTCAACTATTTTTTTTTATCATGCAAAATGGATACAGAATGCAAAAAGCTAAGTCTGTAGATAAGACAATCAAATCAAAGACTCAGCCTTGACATGTGGGGAAATCATGTTAGGTCTGTTTTGGTTTCAAATACAAATTTCGCAAATTAATTAATTCACTAAGCTCACAGAATAACAACAATAAAAAACCCCACATTTTCTTCTGCATTGCTATTTTTTTTTTAACAGAGTGCTTTCCTTCTGTGGTCTGTTTTGCCCAGAGAAATTTAAATCACATGCCCCTAACTGCATGTACTCAGTTCTCCCCGCCTTCCAGTTTAAGTCAGTGCTATCACTAACTGTGAAAGGCGGCAGAGGGGGCAAGGACTCTCCTGGACTGCAGCCAGGAGCCAGCAGCGCAACAAAGACACCCCGTCTGACCTTCAGAATTCTGGCACATCCCCCCCCAGGAGAAATCTCTCTTCCCTCCGTTAAGAATGACTAAAATGCTACCAAAAGCCTTTTACAAAGAAAAAAAACAAGCAAGCACATGGACATTTTCAGCAAGATAAAGAGAAAGGAGAAATTATTATACTGTATAATATAAGGATAAGAAGATTTTTATTTGCTCAAGATTACAACTGAGGGTTTCTCAAAAAGCCGAAGCTACGTGCTTTTCCTACTTGGAAACATTCTTCTTCAGAGTGGCTACATTTTTATTACTGGTATTAAAAACTTCCTCATTTTAAAGTCTGGCTCTATTTAAAATACAATTTTTCATTATTCAAAATAAAATATGAAATATCTGTAGAAGAGATAATCGGTGCTAAAACTGTTAAAAACTATAATATGAAAGAAATAATAAAATTCTGGTTCAATATTTAAGTACTTTCTTTCTTGAAAATCCTGTAATCACCTTAAGACTTAAAAATAAGAAGAAATCAATAATCTTGTCTAAATGGACGTTAGAAAAGTCCATATGATTAGGACAACAAATTTAATGGTATGACTATTAGCTGAGCATGACTAAGATAAAATACTTTATGTAATTTCAAGTGACAAAGGTTCAGGTTAGTTAGTTAAGGTATGACTATTAGCTGAGCATGACTAAGATAAAATACTTTATGTAATTTCAAGTGACAAAGGTTCAGGTTAGTTAGTTATTACATGTAAAGTGTTCAGGACAATGGGCATGGCTGAAGGATACAATAAATTGCAGCTGTTTTTTATTACAAACTCTATTTTCCACAGCCCCTTGGTGGCACCTTCTCCTTTACTCCTTGTCTTGAAGGTAGTTGTCAACAGCTTCAATTGCAAGATTCTTAGAGGTGACGTCAATTCTGCACCTTAGACCCTTCCTCCCGAACAGCATGTGTTCCATCTCCCTCTGGGGAGCCTGAATGTCCACAGGCCCTTTAAACACCACTCCAAACTGACCTCAGGACTGGCGTCCCATCTTCTTCTCAACCACTCTGGTCCCCAGCCCTCACCACCATACCCCTGTGTTTTAACCAGAGTGGATTAGACTTGACTGACTATATAATCAGAGGCAACAATGGTTAAGAGCATGGCCTCTGCAGCCACGACCACAGCTCCACTCTGCTGTGCGTTGGCCAGTGACCTCGGCACTTAGTTACTTATGCTTACTTTCTCCTGTGTAAAATGGGATTTATATACAGTATGTGCTTAAGGTTGTTTTGAGGGTTAAGTAAGTTAAAAACATGTAATGCATTTCAAATAATGCCTAAAATCAGCATTTAATTTTCTACAAAAACTAGCTGCTGCCGCTGTTCTCACTGTTGCTATTGTTGTCTTCCAGTTCCCCAAAAGCATCCTGAAATTTCTTTCCTGGATTTTCCCTACTGCCCTCATACTAACTTGTTGGGTCTCTGCTCAGCCAGCCTCCCCAAACCATGAATCTAGGGCCCACACACTCATCCAGCTTCCTCCTGTGGTCCACACTGCATGGCTGATACCACAGTCGACAGTCTCCTGCATTCTGCCCCTCCTGTCCTGTAACCGCTGGGGGTTCACCACTGGATGCCCAGCACATGGCTCAACACCTGGCACAGGGTAGGAGTGCAAGTATTTGCTGAATGGCTGAACAAATGAAGTCATTCTCTTGCTCCACCAAACCTGTCCCTCTTGCTATGTTATCTCAACTCCTGACATCTCTACCGGTCCAACTGCACACACCAGATAGCTCCTTTTACTTTAGCGGACAGCCAGTCACATGTCCCATCGACGCCACTGGTAAACTTCTCCCCTCCTTCTCTCTTCCCTTCCCTAGAATTACTGTGTATGTTCCCTCCTGGCCTTAGAAGTTTCACAGTTCATCTTGCTGCCTCTTCTAGTCTCTCTTCAACCCACCCTTCAAAACTTCTGCCACTATCTTTCTATAATCATCTGATGATATCACCCATCTGGTTAATGCTATTCAATGAGTTCCCCATTTTCTATAGTATAAAAGAGACATTTTTCTCTCCCAGAAGATCCTCCCTGACCCAGGCCCAGACCACATTTTGGTGTTCTCCCAGGCCAAGCCCATGTGAGATGACTCATTATTCTGCCTACGTTCCCCATTTGTGCCTTAACTCAAGCAACTCCCCCAGTCTGGGCCATTCTCCAGCTTCTACCGGTCGGTCAAATCCACCTCCTCCTTTAAGACAAAACATGCCAAACTTGAAGATTACTCTTTTCCTGAAAAAAAGTTTTCAGGTAACTCTCATGGTTCTCACCTCTGTGGTCCCCATTACTTCATAAGTTAACTCATGAAACCACATCACAGTTCCTTATTTTGTGTCAGTCAACCCTGAACACGTTGGAGAAGAATATTTTTATGCTTTCAGCAAATATTACTAAACATATATTATATGTTAGACACTGTTTTTACTAATGTGTACATTCAGTGTATAATGCAGAATTTGATACAGTGGAGGTACTTAGTAACTGATTATGTAATTTAACATACTCATTTTTTATGGAAATAAAAGAAATGAATGTATTTTTATTTTAATGACTATCTTCTCCCATATTTGTTTCTATTTCACATTTGAAAACATCCCCTCTAGGACAGATCAGGTGCGTGCTAGTACTAACCTGTTTCTCCAATGCCAGGCACCCACTGACATGAGTGCGAGAGTGGCAAGGACCATGACCAGCACAGGCACAAGGACGGCAGCCAGGGCCATATCTGAAAAAAGAGACATTTTTCTCTCCCAGAAGATCCTCCCTGACCCAGGCCCAGACCACATTTTGGTGTTCTCCCAGGCCAAGCCCATGTGAGATGACTCATTATTCTGCCTACGTTCCCCATTTGTGCCTTAACTCAAGCAACTCCCCCAGCCTGGGCCATTCTCCAGCTTCTACCGGTCGGTCAAATCCACCTCCTCCTTTAAGACAAAACATGCCAAACTTGAAGATTACTCTTTTCCTGAAAAAAAGTTTTCAGGTAACTCTCATGGTTCTCACCTCTGTGGTCCCCATTACTTCATAAGTTAACTCATGAAACCACATCACAGTTCCTTATTTTGTGTCAGTCAACCCTGAACACGTTGGAGAAGAATATTTTTATGCTTTCAGCAAATATTACTAAACATATATTATATGTTAGACACTGTTTTTACTAATGTGTACATTCAGTGTATAATGCAGAATTTGATACAGTGGAGGTACTTAGTAACTGATTATGTAATTTAACATACTCATTTTTTATGGAAATAAAAGAAATGAATGTATTTTTATTTTAATGACTATCTTCTCCCATATTTGTTTCTATTTCACATTTGAAAACATCCCCTCTAGGACAGATCAGGTGCGTGCTAGTACTAACCTGTTTCTCCAATGCCAGGCACCCACTGACATGAGTGCGAGAGTGGCAAGGACCATGACCAGCACAGGCACAAGGACGGCAGCCAGGGCCATATCTGAAATATACCAAGGGCAGCAATCACGAAGGAGAAGAGTGAATATTGCCCATATCATCATACAAAGCTTTTCTAGCTCGAGAAATACCGTAAATATAATTTCTGGAAGGAGACTGGGCATGATGAGTTGCTAATGGCTCTCACAGACACATGGACGCCTGTCACACTATATGCGCCACCTTTGTATATGCTTAAAAAATTTTATAGTAACTTTAAAAATCACCAAAACAAATGATAAACTGGAAAAGTGTATTTTCTGCATATGTGATACAGGGTTAGTATATTACAGAATTTACAAGCCAAAAACAAACGAGAAAAATCAGCAGAGATGAATGAACAATAACATTAAGACACAAATGACCATTCAACATGTTAACCCCACTGGTAATCAGAGAAACACAAGTTAAAACAAGAGTAAGTTACTACTTCTGCTTATCAAACTGGCAAATATTTACAAGAACAATTAGCTGTTGAAGAAGATATTAGGAAAAAGGACTTTTATGGGAATATAAATTGATACTTTCCATATCATTTTGGGGCAATGTGTATTAAAAACTGATAATTTGGCATTTCCATATCTAGAATTTATTTTTAGGATAAAATTAAGACATTCAAAGATATATCTTTAAAGAGGTTTGTTTCTGTATCTGCACTAGAATGAAAGACTGGAAAGACTCCAAATGTCCAGCAATGAAAGGGAGTTAAGTACATCGTGGTATCCTCCTTACAGTACAATATCCAGGAGTTAGAAATGGTGTAGCAACATGATGGCAAAATATTTATAGACCAAGGAGGGTAACAGTGCAGAGTTAAGTTAAAAAGCTAATGTGTGTATTGACAGGGCAGAGAACTAACCCAGTGCTGGAGCCTGCAGTAGGAGGCTATTTAATCCCCTTATCTCACATCACAGATTAGGAATTCCAAGTCCAGATACTGAAAATGGTCTGCCTAAGGTCACTGGGGACACGAGTTTCTTCCTTCATCTTTTAACCCCATCCTGGCGGCAAGGACGGTGAACAGCAGCAAGTGCTGATCCCGTCTGGGGTTCAGCATCCAACACTCTGTCAGGCCTGACTTGGAGCATCTGATTTACTCATAATTGTATCCAAAAGTCAGAAAGGCTGACGATACAGGAGATGGAGAGATAACTGGTAATTTGAAGCCTCTAAGAATTGGTGGGATGGGAATGGGGCACAGGTGAAGCGATCAGCCCTGGCAGTACAAGGAACCCATTTTTCACTAAGGAGGACAGAGGGTACAAGGGAGTTTATAGGCTCCACAAAAAAGGGAGTTTCCTTCAATAGCTCCTAATTCCTTTGTGAAGTTGAAGAGGTAACAGAGTGAGTGAAGACCTCTGGGTCAAGGATTTGAAAATATGGAGAAGCAACTGTTGAAAAAACAGAAGAGCTAGTGAGGGAAACCATGACATCTAGCTGGTAGTGAGGGCCCTGCTGGGGAGGGCCCACAAGTTACTGGGCACAGAGCTGACCATGAAATTATCTTCTCCCGCATCACTCCCAGCCTGGCTGTAAAAATAGAGGAAGAAGTGCATAAAACAGAAACGATGATTCAGGCTAGAAAGCACTAAGAACTCAGAAAAGTAAATGTCCTTTATCCTTAAATCTTGTGAAACAAGAATGATCAGGTTGATAGATATGATTTGATTTAATTGGAAGCTTTAAAACACCTGCTTAGATCTGAAAAATAATAAAAAGTCCACACACCACCATCCCAGAGAAAGGGAGACAAGACGTTTTCAATTGTAAAGACTTGTACACACTTCAGCTACTCTTTTTTAAGTTAACAGGGATCCTAGTTCTGGAAGAAAATGCTTTAAGGACACTTTCAGCCTTGGGATTTTAAGATTCTATAATCAGATTCTGAGATAAGCAATACTTGTAAATGACTGTTCTTCCATCCAGGCATATGAGGTCTGAGATTCTGCCCAAACACATGCCTTATGTAAACTGGTAAGGAGCTCTTTGTTTGGTACTGGGATCTCTTGCCTCTGAGAACTCTTGCTTCTAACTTCTCCAGCAGCATGAGGAAAGGAAGTGGTACGTTTGGAAATACCTTATAAATGGGAAAGAAGCTGACATGTGGAATGCTGGAGAAAGTTATCTGAATTCAATGAGAAAATGAGAACGCCTAAAACTCCATGTGGCACAAGTTACTCTGAATGAATTACTTTCTCTCCTCTGCACTGTCCTGAAAATGAGTGTGCTTTTTTATCTGCCAACACTGAAACTAATTCCTCTATGACTCTGATGTTTTGTTATGAATTCAACTGAAATCTTATTTTTCAACTTAGCAGAATCAAAGAACTGTTTTGTATATATTAATACCTTATTTATCATTAACAAAATTAGAAGGTAAATTCTAATACATTTACATATAATCTGAAAAAATTATAAACATTTTAAGAAGAGAAACCAAAGTATTTTCTTAAGAATTTGTTAGCTTGGAGTATTTTTTAAGTGTTTATTTTCATGAGAATTTCTGCTTATTTTTCCTTCTTCCCTTTTTGCCACCAAGTTCCCTATCCAGCAAATTAACATATATTCATGAAAAAAAGTTTGTTTCCTGTTACAGTTTTAGTTACTTCTTTAAATATTTCTAAATATGAGACTCCATGTGTTTAGCTGTAGAAAGAAAAAAATCCCAAGAGGTAGTCTACATACAATACACCAGCATCTCTAAATATTTAAAGAACAATTATTCCACATGGCATCACAGACTACAATTTAGAGCAATGCGGCCAGTTTTTTCCCTAAGGAAAGGAATCAATTTTTTTTTTCATACTTAAAAAGCAGAGGGGAAGAAACAGAGTTTAGAAGCTGGAAATGTTCCTGAAAACTTGCCTTAAAATAGAACAGGTAACAGGTATTAAATTCTGGATTTGCGTACCTTTGGTTACATTTGGAGTTACCGTAGTATTTTTGATATCAGGAGGGGCAGTTGTTTGTTCTGTCTGTGTAGGAAATTCGTTGCTACTGCGAGGTTGCAGTGGTTGTGTAAATTTTGGGGCTCGACCTTGAAAAAAGTTTTAAAAACTCTTTATTTTCTTATCTATACCAACTTGATTAAAATAGTTATTTTATAATGCTTTTAATATATTTATGGAAAGTTACACCACATATCCAGGGATAGCAAATTCTCACATTTAAAGTAGGCATACCTTTGGCTATTTTTGGAGGGGCTGTTGTATTTTTGAGGTCATTGCTGTTCCGAGGAGGTGGAGGTTGAGTAAGTTTTGGAAGACGACCTTGAAAAATGGTTTAGGAAAAGTTTAAGCATTTTGCTTATAAAAATCATAGTTAAAAATAGTAATTTTAAATGTCTGCAATATTTCCTAGAGTATTTAATTCTTCACAGTAATTTTAAATCTCAGAAATATTTCAGAAGGATAAATATACTCTGCATTAAATGTACAAATATACTGGGATTTCTCAGATCTGAAATGATTAAATTGTCTGAAAATCATCTTCTTAGAATAATAATGAGAAGGCAGATCATGTTGAAGTCTGAGCTATAAAAGTGTCATCACAAGTTGATACACTACACACTTCACTTATTTAATAAATATTTATGAAGGGCCCACTATGTGTCCAGGTACTGTGATAGTTTTTGGGGATATAACAGTAAACAAAGCATTAAAATTTTATATAATATTGAGGGAAGTTATTTCCACTTTTAATTTATTCAAAGTAAAAGGCACTTAGACCAAGGTTGTTATTATAATCATCAGTGCTGATGTGATATAAATATTATAGTACCGGAGACCTGATTAAAAATTACTGAGATTGAGAGTCTTGAGAAGCAATCTCATTATATTGTTCCATCAGTGATGTTCTTTCTTCTTCCACTTGGAATCCTGGAAACCATTTTGGTATCTAACTTTTTTACAGGATAACTACTTCTTTTTAAAAATCCCTTTAAGAAGGTATCGTAATTAGGAGTTAAACATTCACATTATTTTTAATTATTTTCTCTCAGAATAGTGAAGCCATTTTTAATTAATCCAGTGAAAATAATATGTCTTAAACATACTGTTGCTTTACCTTTAGGAATAAACTGACATCCAAGCAGTTCCAGTTTCATGGCAATTTTCTGCTGCCATTGGGTAGGATTCACTCTAATAAAACGTGCAATAATTGGTGGCAAAAAGTTATTACGCACATCCTGGTGATAATCTTTGTTTCCTTGAAATATCTTTAGAAAACAACAAAAAATTGGTACTTTATGTTAACAGAAGTCAGGGTTAAACTGCTCCACTGAAATAAATGTTTATCTTTTTGTTCTGGGCCTTAAATGAGATCTGCAAAGTATGATAATTAGAATTAGTTTCTAAAAAAATAATTAGAATTTGGAATAATTCTTAAGCTGTGCACTCTTCATCAAAAATTTATGGAAGGAAAATTCTGAATATAAAAATGAGTTTAAGATTTAAACATAACAGGAGTGCTAACTTGGAAATTTAGGAAGAGAGATTCAAATGTATTGTGACAGTATATTGTATTACTAAATTAGTAAGTTTAGTCCTGTGGAATTACTAACTACTTAAATATATATTAATTTTATTATCAAAGTAAAGCCTAATGGAACACACTAGGTCTTAGAGGAAATGCTTTACTGTGTACTTTTCATAATTTTTCTCTCAATAAATATACTGAAAGTGAATATATGCTAATGAACACATAACAGATATATATCTCCACCTACTGGATAAACCATATTAAGGCAGTTCCCATATGATCAGACCTGAAAAGGAACTTTGAAATACTGTTTTCTAATTCAATGACTGAGCATAAACTAAACAACAGCAAATGCATTATATGAATAATCTCGAGCTAAAATTCTGATTTCAAGTGACTATCTCATTCCCTCAACTACTCAAGGAAATAATGATAGTATCTTACACTAAAACAGCTCTTAATTATTTATAAAGCATTTCCATATAATTAATTCAGATGTTCCTCAAAATAGGTAGAACCCAGAAAAATGTAGACCATAGAATGTGCCAAAGGGAATCACATAGCCAGTCAATGATATGAGCAGTGACCTGAATCTTCGAACTTAAATTTAGGGCTCCACTAAGCAATAAAGAGTCCTCTTTATCCTACAGGCCAAATCACATAGGCAGTTTCTAAAAACCACAATAACAGACATGCCTGAAGTAGTTTGTTTTTTATCATTTAAGGAGAGAACGAGTAAATGTTTCACTCCTCAAGTCATTTCCAAATATAGCTATTTTATTCCTGGCTGATTCCCATGGCATTAGATTATAAACTTGCAAAATGTCTTAATATCCTTCATTCTCTAAGAGTCTGAAATAAAATGAAGGCAATTATTTACAATCTATTATATTAATGTAATAGGAGGAGTAACTAAATATCATTTGGGGATGTAAAATGTCTTTGGAGATCTTACTCTTTTATAAAAAACTTAAAAGAAAGATTTTATAGAAAACTAAAAAAATTTGCTATATTTAACTGTAAGAATTTATTATGGAACCCATATGAAGAGGGAGGTTTGCAAGGTATCATGAGGGTAAAACAGAAATGGAAGTCAAAGTTTCCACTCTCAAGGAACTTAAATTTTATTGGATGTTACTACACAAAAATATAGCATACTATTAAAAAATTGCATTATGAAACTGGTTGTATATGCATTCCCATTTTCTGAAAACAAAATCAAAAGCTGCCTCAATCCATATGTACATGCTCATGCATGCTGCATGTTTACGAAGGGTGTGAAAATGAACACACCAATTACTCCTGAATTGGGGGTAGATGAGGGAGCAGATGGGCTAACAGAAGTGGGGCAAAAGATTGTTATTTCATATAATTCAGCATAAGGAGTCCCACTTCTATCCATGATACACTAACAGGGACTGGACTTACACTTCTGCTTTAAACATCTGAAAAATCAGATAAAATATATGAAACAATGGTTTTCAAAGACAGGACAATAGGCAGCATAGGACCTGAGAGAAGGGGAAATAAACAAGGTGAACCCTTTTATTATCCCAATACCATCTGGAGACAGCCTAATGATCTCACTGAATTGAGAAGACTGAGCTCAGAGATGCAGAGCCAAGGCAGCTAGAATTTGCAGGGCAGAGTGCAGAACCATGCTGAGAGACAGAGACTTCTAGGATATGTAGGGGGGTTCCCATTAGATCTTCAACTGCATGTACACAAACTAAACGTGGATGGGAAAAGAAACACACCGGAAATGAGCCCATAGAACAATTCTGAGAGCTAGACAGGGCTAAGAATAGCCCAAATGCCAAGAGAGACTGGAGAAACCTCATAGTACATGATATATTCGGCTGAATACTTAAAACAGTACTGTCTCAGTTGTGGGGAAAAAATTAGAATTAAAGGTTGCTGAAGTCCTGCCTAACAAAGCTATAAAGCAAGCTTTGAAAAGATCAAATGATTTCCAAGTAACCTGTATTCTAGAATAAGCTTAAAAAATACTTAAAAGAATAATTAAAAAAAAAAATTCAGCAGCAAAAAATGTAAAGTTTACAGTGTCTGGCAATCAATTAAAAATTAGCAAAATGTAACAGGACCCATAATGTCAATCAAAATAAGAAGACCCAGATATGACATACTGACAGGCTTAGTAGATAAGGGCATTTAAAGAGTTACTATATACTCCATATGTTTTAGAGGTAGAGAAAAGCATGAGAATAGAGAGACACAGAACTTTAAAAGTCCAAAACTGTAAATCTAGAGGTGAAAATACAATATTGGAGATAAAAATACATTGGATGAAATTAATGATTAGACACTGTAGAAGAAAAGATTAGTGAATCTGAAGACAAAACAATAGAAATTTTCCAAATTAGAAGAGAAAAACAATGAAAAAAAAAAGACCAGTGAACTGTGAGGTATCTTTAAGAGTCATAATATTTATGTAATTAGAATTACAGAGGAGTATCTGAATAAAAAATGGACTACAGTTTTCTAAATTTGATGCAAATTATAACCACAGAGCCAAGAAGGTCACGGAAGCCCTTGCAGAAGAAACATGAAAACAGCTACACAAAGGCACATCAGTATCAAATTGCTTCAAACAAAGGATAAAAAGGAAATCCTAAAAGCAGCCAAGGAAAAAAAGGGCACATTACATATAGAAAAACAAAGATAATAATGATAGCAGAATTCTTGCTGAAACAATGCAAACCAGAAAACAATGGACTAGAAAATTTGAAGTACTGAATGAAGAAACTGTCAACCTAGAATTCTATATCCAGTGAAATTATCTTTCAAAGATGAAGCACAGTCTTTTTCAGAAATATAATTCATTATTGTTAGATAGCATGAATAATTCTTATAATTTCAAAAAATTAACTATATTCCACAAGGATAATAAATATTATACAAACAACTATGGATGTGCTGAGAGTAAAAGTAGTCCAGTATAGGGACATGAAGCAGAAGTAAGGTAGGTATGGAGACAGTTTTGTTATTTGCTTCAGAGGGTTGAGCCTCACCAAAGATGAAGTTCCTATGACCTCAAGGAGAAGAGAGATAAGAGAACCTTGAGTAACAGAAGAATTTAGATTCATGTGAAAGATTACAGAGAACTCCTAGAGTTTTTTGAAGAGACTAAAAAAGTGGTAATTGAAGACCTTTTAGCAATATAATAGGGAATATTAGTATCATATAATTGAAACAAAATTCATGGGAAATTTCATTGAAAAAATGTGCCCATAAAATCAATTCTAAATGAGAGAAATCTACCTTACTTGGGGACTAGGACTTCCCCCAGCTATAATATCCTGGATGATAGGCCAGGAATCTGGGTAAAAATGAGACTCAGCTAGATAAGAGCCATCTCTGCCTACTCTCTACCCTTATCTGCTTTGGAATATTCCAGAATCATCATTTTTGCCAACTAAAACAATTTCATAATTACCACAAAAGTTAAGGATATTCTTCAGGTAGAAAAAAAAAGTTTTCTAAGACAAAAATTGGTGAGGTGATCTTGAAATGACCTTTCAGGTCTATAATATCCTGTAATTTAATGCCCTTTTGCCTTTAGCTCTTTTGTCCCCCTCACCTACAGAGTAGAAATCTTGGGAACACATTAGGCTCTCCATAATTCTATGGGTTAATAAGAAAAGCTTTTTAGAGATAAGAAATTACAAATTCTTTTTTAGAATTTCTTAAGTGTCTAAACAATTGAATTTAAAATGTAGTGGGGAAAAAAAAAGTAAGGAAGGTACTTACCTGTATTATCATCAAAAGGGACCTAGAACACAGAATTTTCTAATCACAGCTACAAGAGTAAGGCCAAGAACTAACACTACCTAAAACAACTAGAAGGGAGTAGCTTCTGTGACTTTTGGCAAAGGCCCATTTTTAACAATGATTTAAAAATAGCTTGGTAATTATTTTACCTTATCCTGTTCCACACCAGGCTCTCTATATACAGTCCATCTCTGCCCATCGTCACTGTATAGAATCCTGTAGGCTGACACATAGTAATTGTGTTCCACCATAGTGGAGCCGGTGGTTACAATGCCTGGGGAATGAACAGTTACTCTAATTAAAGCACAGTCTGATACTCAAAATTTTTTCAGCATTGAAGCATAAACACCCAGAATACACTGTTTGAATTACTATGTCTAAGTGCCAGGTTTATCACAATAATTAAGTAAATTCTTGGCTTTGTTCCCTCATAGAGACAGAAGGAATTAATAGGTGTACATAAGGAATGGACTATTTTGGCAGTTTATGTCCATATCATTGTAAAATGTATCTCATATCCTGGGAAGGAATGATTTCCTGAGACTGCATAGATCAAAAATGATTATTGGTATTATTTTCAGTACCAAAGCAAAACAAATCTGACAAAATTATCTAAATCCATCCTAACCAATTATACTGACCATATGCTAAGCTGCTTCCAATAATTAATTAAATTTATACTCAGCACATGTATAAGATTAGCACTTAAATTGGTCTCCTTGAACATAAATTTCTTAGTAACTGTAAGAGATGGTTACTTCAGATGTCTCAAGATCACTTTACTGAAACATTATCTTAAAAGAATCTCATTACAATGAAAAAGAAAAGCTAGTAAAAGCAAATGCCAACTCCTCTCCTCTGCCATGTTTTATAAAACATCTTCAGTACTATAAACACAGTAAAGAAAACTTAAAACCATACAATTAAATATTCAGTGACCTGATTTTCTATGAAAAGCTTAGATGTCACCAGGTTTCCAAACAAAAACAGTATTATAAATCATTCTAGAAAGTTATCTGTCTTAACCTGTTATCTTCTTTTCCTTATTCAGATCTATTTGTAACCACTGATATTCATCAGTGGCAAAAGCAGCCCAAGGCGGCCCAGGTTTCCTCAGCCTGGCCTTTTCAGGTTTCCAGCTATTCTCTTGCCCTGTGTGGTCAGTCCACTCCAGCACTGAGGATGCTGTTATCTGAGGATCAGCAATCACACCAGATTCCATCCCCAGGGTTCCATAACAACCTGAAACGAAGAAGAAAGTGATTTGGTTTTCAGATATAAATTCAAAATCTATATAAACTTGCTCATTGGAAATTTTCCTTTGTATATTTAATTAACATACACTATGTTAATAGTACATTATTATAGAGAGATTTCTAAAGTAGGTGTTTCTTGGGTCTATGTCTTTGTGTCTTGTCAGGAAATGTACATATTTATTCACAAGCAATAACCATCAATTTTAAGAAGATACAATACCGTCTCCTGGGGACACTGTCCCCAGGCCAGTGGGTGACTCACTCCCTTATCTCCTTCAAGTGTTTGCTGAGATGTCACGTACTCCGTGAGGCCTGCCCTCACCACACTTAACACTTCAAGCTAGTCCCTCTGCACTGCCTATCCTCTTGCCTTGCCTTATTTTTCTACATCACTTATAGAATTATGAGGCCATTATAAACACTAATTTACTTATCCAGTGTTCACTGTCAATCTCACAGTACCAGAGTGTAAGCTCCAGGAAACTTTGGTTTATTCTGCTTACTGTTTCAGCAGCACTAGAACAGTGCCTGACACATTAAAGAGGAATTTAATAAATGTTTCCCAGTGAATGAATCTGCTACTACTTCAAAAATCACTTTTGTAAGGAAACTTAGTTGCTTATATGATCATTTCCCTAGTAATATAAAACCTCCAATTATTCTGCTATTATAATAAGTATGTATTTTACCTCATAGTTATGGTGACAACTAAATAAGAAAGTGCAAGAAAACAACAACTGGCATAGTGTCCAAAAAATACTAGCTATCATACAAATTACAATAAGTTATAAAGTCCATGAGAGTCTTACCACTTGTCTTAAATGTAAAAAGACTTGTAGATAAATGTCCCCTGAAAGAGAGAAAGGTTTTTTGGTGACAATCATATAACATTAGTTCCCCGTATTTTCATCTAGGTACAACTTTTTCTTTTGTTTTTACTTTACTGTATAAAGAACTAAGGATATTCTATGGCTACATATTTTAGACAACTGATGATATTGTCAGCAAAAAGTCTCATTTCTAAGCAGAACTTCTGGAAGCATAAACAGTTTTTCCCAATAAGTATCTAGTTTCATATATGCATACAAAATACGCAGTTTTCCCAATAAGCATAGTTTCATATATGAGTGTGCAAGTGTTTCCATATAACCTTTAACATATCTTATTTGGTTTTCATGAAATAAATTGACTCCTAAAACTTTTCTGTGGCAGTTGTTTCTGGTCAAAGTACATGGGAAGGTATAATTCTTAGACAGTGAGGCTCAAGTTTCCTGGGGCAAGTAAACAGAACCAAAGCTAACTACTAGTAAGAGAGATTACATTTGTTATAGGAAATCAGCACAGCTGAGAACAAGTTTCACTGTTACAATGCAGCACTGCATTTGGGTTGCAAAGTAACAGGCAAGATAGGTACCAGGAGACTGGAGGGGTGGGACAAGTGACCAGTTCACTATCTGTCAGGTAAAAGAACTCTAAGGAACGTAAAGGGGTAAAATTACCAGTGTATGTTCCTGCCTTTAGCACAGCATGCAAACTACTGTAAGCATATGCAACCTTTCTCTATTTGTTGTTAAGTATAAAAGAGAAAATTCACGCACAAAAAATCTTTCTTTGGGTAGAAGAGGGAAAAGGAATGAAAGGATCTATATAGTATCATATAGAAAAAAACTAAAAGAAGGAAGGTAGCTGATTCTATACCAGAGGTAGGCAAATGATAGCCCATACATGGGCATATGGCCAGTGAACCAAGAATGGTTTTGAAGTGGTTAAAAAGTTGTAAATAAGGAAGAAAGAATACGTGACAGGGACACGTGGCCCATAAAAGTCTAACATATTCTCTAGCTGGTCCTTTACAGAAGAAGTTGACTGAACCTGCTTTCTACTGCCTAGATATGATCATGTTCTTGTCTTCAGAATGAACACTGGCCTAGGACCTCTGAAGAGAAGCTGGTTTTATTTCTGCTTCAAATGTCTACAGACTGAGCATATCTAAGAGGCAAGATTTACAAAAACTTTTCACAAGTATTACATTTCCATTTAATGTTTCAACTTTTCCCTGCTTTTGATGTGTAGTCTATGTTTAGTAAAACAGCAGAACACTAGTTACCATGAAAATACATTCTCATATAAATATTCTCTTAGGATGAGAGGAGGATTCACAATAATACTACCTCTGATTTATGTCTATCAATTTATACTCAAAGTATTTCAATTATCCTCAATCAGTCCTAGGTCACATAGGCTATAAAGAACAGAGCAGTTATGCCTTCTGATCTTTAAATGAAGTAAGGATTTGGCCACAAACTTTTAGACTCTTACTCCAGACTTTGTAAATACTCCAAAAAGAAGAAAGAAACAAATCATGGCTCCAAAAGACTATCCTTTTGGTGGGGAACAACTGAAGTAGTACCACGTTGCCTGTGCTCTTTAATACACTCAGACACTGAACACACAAATGTGAGAGGTGATTGCACAAATGTTATTCCATAGGCACCATTACCAGTGATGTTATTGATGTCTAACTAGTCCCTAGCCCACCCCTGCCCAGCATGATTATCAATAACATATATACTTACACCACAGACGTGACATTATTAGCCAAAGAACTTTCATAGTACGGGATACCTTTGCTAATTACAACACTGATTTGGCCGCCCAAAATGTTTGACACTACTCCTGCATGCACACCAGCCAGGCACAGTGGTGAGGACTTGAGGGAAGGAAAAAGAAAAGATTAGTTTTTAATTTTCTTTTGATAATTCATAAACAAGACACTTACACTTCCTCAAGAAATTAGTTGATCTGGGCAGTTTTCTCAATAAACATGGAGTACTTTATTGATCCCATAACATAGATCAGATTTTTAGCAGAAGAAAAAAATAAAACATTACATATCACTAAAAAGAAAGAATTCCTAGGGGAAAAAAAACCAAGATAAATAAGATAAAGATATACAACAGACATACATCTACCTATTCTGGAGTTTTTAAAAAATGAAGTCATATCACAACTTTAACACAGTCTATGTGACGCAGACTTACATCTCTATATCCATGAGGGATTGTTCCAGATATCTCAGCAAAAGGAAGCAGACAGCCAGCTGGGCAGTACTTACTGCAAAATAAAAACAATTTAAATGTTATATAGTGCTGTACCTGATGGAGGAAAAGACCAAAAAAATCACATACCCACTTTTTAGTTCAATGTAAATGCTGTTATTTCACCACCCAAGATGTATCACTTCTATAAAGCTCTTTCAGACTTTCCCTATCCACCCATATACCTGTCTTTACCCATGTATTTGCCAAAGTTGTCTCATATTTTACATACTGCTTTGACTATTTTACTTCATAATGAAGGGCAGAGGCATCTCCACTGTAACATCTATTCATATTTAATAGCTACATGATATTCTATTTGGTTGATAAACCATAATTTACTTTTATCAACTACTGATGAAATTTAAGTTAACTGAAAAATGTATGGCATGCATGCATTCAATCAGTCACCCACTCACCCACCCACTCAACACTTTTATTTGAATGTCTATTATGCTGTCTGTTTAGTGCTTGGCTGTACTGGGTTTACAAAGATTCAACAAACAAACATGGCCCCTGTCCTTACTGGGCTTACATTCCGGTGGTGTAGAAGACATTAAACCAATAATTAATTAAATGAGTAATTAATTAGATTTTGATTCTGCTATGAAAAAAGGCACTCTATGAAATAACTGGAAGGAATCTAACAATAAAACTACTACAAATATTTAGTAAACTTATATGTGCTGGCAGCATTCTAAGTATTTCAGTAATCCTGGTAAGAATCCTATGTGGTGGGTATGTTATTAACCTCACTTTTACAGATGAAGACACTGAGGAACTGTGTGAGCAGGTCACACATCTGGTAAGTGGCAGATGGGATCCAGAGTCTTCACTCCTACCCAGGGCTCTGCACTGCCTCAGTCAGCGAACAGGGTCTGAGGAAGTAGGGCCTCAGCAGGTAATGAACGGCAGTCAGTGGAGAGGAATGCACACCATCAGAGGGAGGAGCATGCTGGGAGCCCACAGCCTTTGTGTGCCTGGACATGAGAATGACTAGTGCAGGCAGAGTGCTGACAGCAAAGGTAAGATTAGCATAAGAGAAGGCTGGAGAGGTGGGCACAGCCACACCGTGCAGAAGCCTTGTGGGCTATGGTGAAGAGTCTGAAATCTATTTCTAAGTAAAAATAAGAAGTCAGTAAAGGATTCTGACAGCTTATATACATAATGTGATTCATACTTTTAAAAAAGATAACTCTGGTTCCTGGGAAGAAGAGACTAAGGAACCATGAGTGACAGCTGGGACATGGTTAGGCAGAGCAGCAAACACGATGCAGGTGAGATGCGATGGCAGCTTGTGTGTGGGTGGTGACAGTAAAGCCGGAGAGCAGAGGGCACAAGACAGCTGGCCATGAGGCAGGGCTGTGAGCTATACCCTGATGCCAAGGCGCCTCTGATCCCCAGGGTCCCCACAAACACTCAAGAGCACACTGAGCCCATACAGAGCCATTCTTGAAACAAAATTAAGGTTTTTTTGGGGAGTGGCAGGAAGCTTGGGGGAGGTTAGTGAGATGGGTCTTATAAAGTGAGAATGAATTTGCCAAGCAGAGAGGAGTAAAGGGATTTCAGGCAAAAGTTCTGACAGCTCAGACCAGTGCAACTAATCCAAGGCCATTTCAACATGAGCATATAAGATGAAACTGGAAAATGGCCCACAGACTACTTAGGAAGGATCCTGAACACCAGGTTAAGGAACCTATATGACATTTTATCATAATAAAGAGCTACTGAAGATATTAAAGCAGGGAAATGATCAGATACAGATTTTAGCAAGTACCTTGGCAGCAATGTGAATGGCAGAATAAAGCCAGCAACGGTTAAAAATGGGAAATCAGTTTGAAGTTAATCTTAGTCTAGGCAAGAGATGAGGGCATAAAGCAGGGAAATAGTAGTAGAAATGCTACTTGGGTAAAAACACTGGAGAATTGTTATGGCCTAAATTGTTTTCTTCCTTTTTTAGAGAAAATATAAACAGCTCTTCTACCTTTATTAACAGTGTTGTCAGATTTTTGAGAGCAAATAGTTCTACTTTTAAAGTATATTAAAATTATACTTTCATTATGGAGAAGATTTAAATGCTACAGTTAAAGCAAAATTTAAACATGGCAACTCAATGGCTTTAAATAAGCTCTAATGCATTGATGTCTTAGAATAATGATTATATGTAGCATCATGTACCTTAATCTTAAGTGTATAAAGAACAAGGATGAAGTGGATGATGAGCAACACTTAAGAAAAACAAAGTCAAATATGGTCATACCTGAACTCAGGTTCCAAAAAACTAGACGCAGTGTCTAAACAAGTAATTAGATCTAGAAAATAAAAAAAACAAAAAGTTGATTTAATATATACATTTACTCTTGCTGAAACACCATTTCCAAATCCCCAATCATATTGTTCTAAATTTCTAAATCTCAAGAGCTTTCAAGACAGTACCAACTTTTTACAAATTTGGTTAATCACAACTTCTTTCTGCTTTTCAGTATTTCGACTTCTGGGGCTATGTCCCCCAGTACTGTTTACTACCACATCACCTCCGAGAGTCATATATCATATATGTTGTAGGTATACAAGTAAGTATAACTTATAGTTTTAAAATGACTTCCATAAAATACAGCTCCTGAAACAAAGAAACTTTCTTATATGACTAAAAAGGATCCTTTGTTACACACAAAGAAAACAATGACAAATGACAAGGTGAGTTAACTCTGTGGCTCTAAATACCTGCTACTCAAATCTGGTCCATGGACAGGACCAGCAGCATCAGCCATCTTCCAGGAACTTACTAGATATTCAAATTCTTGAACAGCATCCAGACTCACAGGATCTCTGGGAGTGGGGCCCAAAGATTTGTTTCAACAAGTCCTCCAGGTAATTCTTAATCGCACTAAAGTTGTAGAAGCACTGCTCTAAATTTTTAGACAGAACTTTAAAATTTTAATAGCTTCTATCTAGAAATCAACAAATCTGAATAAGAGCAAACTGCCTAATTAAGACCTAGTGCATGGGCTGTAAAAGGAGGCTTTGGTTCCAACATTCCAATGGCTTCCTTCTGCTCTTGGGACAGAAGACAAAGTCCTCCACACGGCCCACAGAGACTTGCAGTGCTTAGTCCTGCCTCAAGTCTTGTCTTGACTTCTTGTCATTCTACTACTCACGTCTTCTTTTGGTTCCCCCAGCACACACTGCTCTCTTGGCCTGAAGGCTTTTCCACTATCCCTCAGCCTAGCTGACTTCTAAGAACTCAGCTTAACTGTCACTTCCTCACAGAAGCTGTCCCTGACCTTCCCAAGTCAAGCACCTTTAGCACATAGTAGGCACTTAATGTGTTTTTTGTTTTAATGAACGTTAAAAATATTATAATGTTTAGTGTTATAACATTAAACATTGTGAAAACATTTATAATACTATTTATATTATTATGACTCTCATGTGTCCTCATAGTCCCATGTGTTATCTAAGAACAATCAATTACGAAGTTATAAGCAAAATCACATGACGCTTTATCTATGGACAGACACTAAAGTGGCTAGTCCTCACCTTTGTATCACCAGCAACAACCACAGCATATGGCTTAACGGGAGGCTTTCAATCAACGTTTACTGAATAAATGGATGAATAAAAGTTTCTGATTGTTAGCATGTTTGGCTAAGTCCCATCATGTACTAACCCACAAGGAGGAAAACCTGGAAGATGGCCCTAAGGTGATCACAAAGATAAGTGAGTTCATATACAAATGCTTGGCCAAACAACTATGTTGGGGGTGACAAATACACTAATGGAGATGATACCTCATATGCTGCCTAGCACACTGGTGGCACAAAAATATTTGTTAAATTAAAAGTCACCACAACAGCAAGCACAGAATAATTGATTATCCTATTTTACAATTCTGAAGAACTGTGTTTATTATCCAACTGAAATGTGTTTTGAAAGAACTAGAGCATAATGACTGTTATACCAACAGGAAAGTGTTATTTTGAGAGGAATTATATGGATTAATATTTATAGACTACAGGCACTTGAATGATGATTAAGTTAAATCTGTGTTCCCGGTGTTTAAGAGCAAACATGCCTGGATAAGGGTTCATGACTACCTTGCTGACTAACTGGGAAAAGTAAACAAACTGAATTACCTGTACTCTAGTTATTCCTGGCAGTCTTTACACAGCATCAATCAGAAGGGATTTTTTTACTTTGCTGCTCCACCAAGACAGTTTCCAACTTCTAAGATTAGGAATTGAACTTCTAAGATTAATAGCCTGAGATGAAAAGGTACCTGTGTGGTCCAAGATGACATTCAAGTCATTAGATTGCTGCCAGCTGGCCCCATTACCTCAGGCCACGTGCCAGGATGCTGGTCAACGATGAATATACTTGATCAGAATAGGACTTCATTCATGCCATGCTGAAACTCCAGTGTATACCATGCAAATGCATGCAACTCATTTGACCTTGCTCTCAGATTCCAGGGGCTCAAAGGGCTCCCAGGAGGAAAATAAGAATTCAAAATGGACAGCTGCAAGGACAGCCAAGGCTGAAGACAGAAAGAAAGTCATAATTACAGACTTTGACCTTTACAAATCCACAGCAGAAAGAAAACATCAATTAAGCAGGAAATTAAGAAGTTATAAAATGAATCTTTCTTGAAAGCCTTTTCCAACTAAACAGCCTTCCAGAAAACCACTACTACTACAAGACTCTCAGCTAATAAGAACACAGCCCAGCAAAATGAATGCAGCTCAAAGGAAACCACCTGCCTGCACTGATTTCTGATAGCACTGTATGGGAAGTGTCGTAATGAATGGAATAGAACTAAGAGTCCAGAAATAAATCCTCAAATCTATAGTTAATTGATTTTGACAAGGGAGCCAAGACAATCAGTGGGGTGAAGAACATGTTGCCTTTTTAACAAATGGTGCTAGGACAACAGGATATCCACATGCAAAAGAATGAAACTGGATGGATCCCTCCACCTCGGATCATAGACAAAAATTAACTCAAAGTGAATCTAAACTTGAGAACTAAAACTATAAAACTTTTAGAAAAAAAATATAGGTGTAAATCTTGACTCTGGATTAAGCATGGATTCTTAGATGTGACCACACAAAAATACACAAACTGAGTGTCACCAAAATTAAAAACTCACATGCTTCAAACGATGCTATCATGAAAAAGAAAGATAACTCACAGAATGGAAGAAAATGTTTGCCAATCATACAACTGATAAGGATCTAGTATCCAGAGTACAGAGAATAATTAAAACTTGACACTAAAAAGACAACCCAATTTAAAAATGAGCAAGGCTATGAATAGACATTTCTCCAAAAAAGACCTATGAACGGTCAATAAGGATATGAAAAGATGCTCAACATCATTAGCTATCAGGAAAATGTTAATCAAATCACAGTGAGATACCACTTTATACCTACTAGGATGGTGAGAATCAAAAGGACAGATAACAAGAGCTGACCAGGATGTAGAGAAACTGAAACTTACACACTTCTAGTGGGACTGTAAAATGGTACAGCTGCTTTGGAAAATGGCCTGACAGTTCCTTAAAAGGGTAAACACAGAGGTACCATATGACCCATCAATTCCACCACTAGGTATATACCCAAGAAATTGAAAACATATTTTTGTACAAGTGTTCACATTTGAATGGATAAACACGATGTGACAAAAAGTGATATATCTATTGATATCATTCAGTCATAAAAAAAGCAAAGAAGTTTTTATATATGCTAAAACATGAACTTTGAAAACATGCTAAATGAAAGAAGCCAGTCACAAAAGACCACACTATATGATTCCATTTACATGAAATGTCCAGAACAGGTAAATCTATACAAAAAAAAACTGTACTAGAACTGGAGGGGGAAAAAGGGCAGGGAATGGTGACTGATTGCTACTGACTATGGGGTTTCTTTTGGGGTGATGAAAATGTTCTAAAATTGACTGTGAGGATGACTGCACAACTCTGAATACACTGAAAATCCATGAATTGTATATTTTAGGTAGGTGAATCATATGGTATGTGAACTATATCTCAATAGAGCTATTATAAAAATGAAAAAGCTATCAGAAAAGAACTAACAATTTCCTTTTATATACAGTACATCTGCATTGATGAGATAAGCCTTGTAAAAGACACAGGAGTGGCAGTTAACACTGTTGAGTCAATTTTTCATTCAGTCATTCAATAAATATTTAATAAGCATGTGTTATGACCAGGTGTTGTTCTAGGCACTAGAGAGTGAGCAAAGAACAATCAGACAAATATCCCCACATACAGAAAGTGGAGTTTAAGAGAAAATAGACAATATGAGTAAGAAAAAGATACAATGTGTTTAGTGAACGAAAATGTTAGAAAAATACAGAAAGGAAGAAACTTAAGAAAAGTTAAGGGGTTGCAATTTTAAGTAGTGTGGTCAGGATAGGCCTTACTGCGAAGTTGGTATTTGAATAAAACCCTAAAATAGGCAAGGGAATGACCTATGAGGTAAATGGATAACTGAGGATAGGCAGAGGGAATCACAAGTGCCCTGAGGAGGGAGCATCCCCAAGCAAGCTAGAGGCCAAGGCAAACAAGGGGAAGAAAAGTAAGAGATGAAGTCAGACAAGTAATGAAAAGCCATATATATCCTAGAGGGTTTCGGAGTAAGGACATTGGGCAGAGTGAGATGGGACCTTCATTTTAATAGGATCATCCTGACCACTGGGTTGAGAGTAGTTTGCAGGTGAGAAAGGCCAGAAACAAAGGTCAGCAAGGAATCTTTTGCCATAATGTGGTAAGTGTTGAAGGTAACCAACTAGATTGGCAGTAATGGATGTGTTGAGATGTGGTCAGAGATTCTGATGTATGTTTATATATATCCTGAGAAGTAGCTGAAGGATGTCAAGTGTGAGAGAGAGTCAAAGATAAAACGCTAAGCTTTCTGGCCTGAGCAAATTAAAAGATGAGCTTAGGAGATGGATAATAATAATACTGAATTTACTAGCAATAAATTCACCTCAATTATCATGCTAGATCCACTAGGACATATCCTATAATATCAGAGAACCAGTGAAAGTTCAAAGTGCAGGGCAGTAAATAATTCATGCTATTCTTACCTAAGAGCTTCTGCATGGGATTTTTTTTCTGTAATTTTAATCAGAAATTTTATACATACAAAAAAATATTTAAAACATATATATTACTACACAGAACACCAAACATGATATACTTCATTTGGGGGATTTGGACAACGGAGTGACCACAGTACTCAGCAGAACAGCCCCAGGGGCTCTGCTGAGGCAGACCGGCATTCCA